AAGCGGCCCTGACGTCACGCCAGCTACGGTGGCGCCTCTATTGGCAGGATGCACGCGCGGACGCTTCCCTTCACCCGAACTTCATTCCTGCGCACGCCCAGTGCACATACCTCGTGTGGGAACTGCGCATTTGGCCAAGCCTCGTGTGGGGTTGTTTCTAAGCAGCGCGTTGGCCTATTTTCACGAGAATGTATTATGGCTGCCCTACAACAGACCTCGACAATGTGTTCTACGCTTTGAGAACTTTTTTTGCATCTGTCCCACAACGCGGTCGGTAAACGAATCGACTGTTGCTTTATAATCGACTTGGCCACTTAGAAATGCGAGCTGCATCGCGCTTTAAAAGAGACACGGAACTTCCGAACAAACGTTGGTGTTAGTTGTACGATTAAAACGTGTATCTCGCCAGTATGTCCTCAATACAAAAAAAAAATAGTTTAGCGTATTAGTTATCTTCCAAGACTCATCTTGTGCTACGAGCAATCCTGATATTTCGACCAGTGTGCACAAAATATTACCAGGTTTTTAGATTCGCTCCTAGGAACATTAAACTCGAAAAATAGTTTGTAGGGGTGTGTAATGCAGACGTATGTCACCGAATAAAATTTACTCTAAAAAACCTGCCTGTATTTTGGTACAGAGTTTTGAAATACAAGTACCAAACAGAATCACGTCGCGAGACTTAAAATGAGTCTCGGGGAAGAAATAGTGCACTGAATTTATTTTCTCATGGATAGTTTGCTGTGTTAAATTTGTGGTATATTCAGTCACTTGCTGTGGGTAGAGTGTTATTTATTTTTTTTTTTTTTTGTAAACTGATATCACAGTAGAAGTACGAAGTCCAATTTTTTTTTACTGATGAAACTGAATTGCACTTGAAGCACGAACTCCGAATTAACAGTTTAGCGGAACTCAATAAAAAAAAAAAACTTATTTATGTTGCATCGTCTCGGCTTTCAGTATTTACTCGGAGCTATGTTATTCTGCAGATGTCAATACATGCAGCGTCGCGTCGTCAAAAAACATTTAGACGTACTTTAACAAAAGCGATTCTCCATCTACCTTCACGTGGGGCCCTGTAAAACCCGATTACGGTTACATAATGTGGCGGTCCGGAAAACAAACACGAAACGGATACAGAACAAAACATACGCTTCAACCTACAATCCGGTGAGACATTGCACTCCATATTTCATGTGTTAAAGGGACCATGAAATGACCTTTTTACTTTTTCCAGATAACTTTTACATTAAACCGTCAATGTTCATTGAATGCCGAACAGGCATCCGTTTTCGTCTCGGTTTATTATCTTCTACACAAAAAATTATTGAAATATCGACTTTTTCATTCTCTCCAACTGACCGCAGAAGAAGCCGTGACGTAGGCCGTTTCCGGAACCGGAAGTTCTCTCAGCAGTGGGAGAATGGGAGTGTTAGCGGCAACGAGTTGGAGTGCGCCGGTAGGTTTTACTGCGCTGATGTCACCGACGTATTTCCTGAATCGGCGCCTCTCATCGCCGCATCGCAGCTGAGCGAAATTCAATGAGATATGTTGCGCTACAGCGACAACATGGGACTAGTCCCATACGCCGGTATGCCTGTTGGGAAGTGCAGCGAGTCTTCCGGTGAAGACTCCAGAAGTCAACCACCCCGTCATTGTTGGCAGAAGGGCCGGCCCGTGTCAGTCGTTTGCAAAGCGACGTAGATGGCGTTTTTCGCGGCCTCGGAGATGCAGGAGCGAGCCGACGTTAAAAAAGATACGTTTGAACTACTAGTGTCAGCAAGAGCCACGTAAATACCTGTTTACACTCGGAGCGGACGCGCGCGCTTGATGGAAGTCTTGTATTCGCGCTGTTTGTAAGCGCTTCGGGACCGTTCTTTTACGATTGCAACTCGATACTGACGCGACACTCGGCAAAGAAAGGTTGGACCGGGGTTGTACGTATACCTCCCACGAACTGTTATAGCTCGACAGTGACGTGCAGTCTGTCAGAATAAAAATGGCATACCAATAACAAAGTGTACATGCCGTGTTACGAAGGTAATCCATACGGCGTTTATTTCAGCTCTATATCACACAAAACAAGAAGATAGAATCGACGAGAGTCCCTTTTCGACGAGTGTTCGTCAACACTGCCTCGGAAAACAAGGGGAAGAGATTGACCTCACCTCTTAATCTAGAATTGAGGTCAGCGATCAAACTATAATACGGGAAGGGTCCACAAGGGTCGCGCGGGCATATTCCATTTAGCACGCCAGCCGGTCGTAGGCAGACGGTCTTGCGACGAAGCAACGCAGCGCCGAGTCGGAATGCCTGCTAGGCCTATATTCTGAGCAGCTCGCTTCGTCGGAGTCGCTGGATTCAGCGTTCTTGTTCGTCGTGGTCTGTTTTAAGTACTGTTTTCTTGCGCCTTGAAGTCGGCACGCGCGGGAAGAACACGTAGAAAAATAAACGTTCAGTCAGTCAGAGTTTTGAGAGGAAGGAAAACAAATAAAATAAACGTTCGTCGCTGGCCGCCACCCAAGTAACTGTCGGCCCTGCCCTACTGCGTACGCGCAGTAGTTGCTTCGTTTACCACACGATAGATGGCGCCTGGCTCTCAGCATTATCAAATTTGGCAATTTTCGCCACACATCTCTAATTATGCTACAAAATGTGGATCTGAATATTATTTAACAAAACTTTTAGGAAACATTCGCCGGCTATTTATTGTTTACGATCGCGGTGCTGGTGAGGTAGGCTCTGACATAATAGGCGACCTGGATTTGGCTGACGTGCTCCATTTCCGCGGATGCATCGTAGTGAACAGGCGATGGAAGGAAGGCGCAAAAGAGTCCAGCTTTCTTTTAAAAGTTCTATAGCGAATAATTTTTTTGGCTCCCTATTTTTGTGTTTTTGTGTTTCTTTTCACACCTTTTACGACGTGCGGTGGATGAAACTCGATTTTAAAATCATTTCATGGTCCCTTTAACATCACACGCGGAGTCAGATCCCATCGCAGTTCTCGTCGCAAGCATGTAGACCTGGGAAGTCCCTAACACTACTTCTCATTGAGCTGCACTCGGGAAACAAAATATTGCTCGTGCTGGCATTTTTGATATGACTCATGGTAATCAAACCCGAGACTCATGAACACAGAAGGGGACGAACACAACACAACGTTGAGACGTTGTGTTGTGTTCGTCCCCTTCTGTGTTCCTGAGCCTCGGGTTTTATTACCATGAAGCATCACCAGCTCGCTTGTTTTTTTAAGTATTATTTTGATATGACTGGTCTTTTAAGTGCGTAGCAGACCATTGAATTCAGGCACTTCTGAGAGCATATGTAGTCGAAAGTCGTGTGCTGGCGTGCTGCATGTTCTGCTATACTGCCTTAGGCCGTAACAGAAAAAGTAAAAACTTCTTTCTATTGAGCTTTAGGGGGTTTCTCTGCTATTGCAACCAATAAAATCAACGCTTGAGGTGATTACACAATAAGGCGGTATAAAAAAAGAAAGAAAAAAACTTACACCTAATCTAAGTCGCTCAAGGAAGCTCACATTGTACCATTTTTCTCTCGCTGGCGCCACTGAGGAAAGTGAACCAACTACACGGGCAGTTTCCTTCATCTTCCATAGATACGAAGTGGTCTTTCCCACCGATGGCCAGTATGGAGATATTGCCCCGGACGGGTCTATTCATGGGTCACTCATGATGATTCATAAAGGAGTAAGTAGACAAATTTTTATTACCAGCAGCAATTACATCTATTTAGAAACTGAACTCGAGAAAAGGATACTTTATGAATTGCTTTCTTTCTTACCATTCTTAATGCGTTAACATATTAGAACGCTCGTTTTGACGAAAACCCAGTGGTGTCTTTCGTTTGTCAGTTGTCGCGTGCGACGCACCCATTGGTCCGAAGCGCTGACGTAAGCACGCGTCAACCTCTCCCTCTCTCCCGGCGCTGACAAACTGACAGACACTACCGGGTTTTCGTCAAAACTAGCCCTTTCGTTTTCGGCGAAGTCACGCGTGGAGATGGCGCGGAACCAGAAAGGAGGAGGCGCTGCGCAACAGCTCCTAGATAACAAAGCCGTAGGGCTGAATGAGGTGGCTTAATCAGAGAAGCCCAACGCTGAACATAGATTGGAAAATCGTGATGCGTCAGCGCTCGGCTTCGAGTCGGATTTCAGCCGAACGTTGACGCATTCGCCGTGTCCAACCTGCGCCTAGCGTTGGCCTTCTCTGACGACGCTATCTCATTCAGCACCATCTACGGTTTTGGTTTTGTTTTCTGGAGGTATGGAGCCGTGGCGCGGTGGAGTGCATACGTGCTCAGTGGCCGCTCTGCTGTGTCCGGTTGTTCTTCGCTCTTGGTTTTCGTGGAAGCGGAGCGTGGTCTCTGATGTCTATGTGTAGTTAAAACGATGAAAGCGGTTCATTCCACGAGTGATATAGATGCGGTTCTGTCCACGAGTGGTACGGATGTGGTTTTTTCCACGAGAACTATGAATGACAGTATTCAAGGGCAACAACGTACTCTGAGAGGCAGAGTGCAAAAAAGGGGTGAAATTATTAATAGGAAGATCGATTGGTGGATTCTTGGGGAATATCTTAGCATTACCCTTGGGAAACGCCACACACGCCCCCCCCCCCCCCCCCCCCCCTTTTGGGAATCTGGAACACTGACTTTGTAACGAGGCCAAAAAGACGGAGCAAAAAATAGAGGAAGCAATACAGAAGGCCAAAAAAAATGAAGGGGTCCGCATTAACGTTTGCCAAAGTGGGACGTGTGTGGTGTTCCCAGGGATTATGCTAACGCATTCCCGAAAAATCCACCAATGAATCTTCCAGTATTTGTTGTTTTCTAATTCCGTCAAAAATATTGGAATTACAAGGATACTTATCTGAACATTCGTAGTAGCGACCAAACTGCGCGAGGGGCATGATGTAATGGAAATCGAAGAAGCGAAAATAAAGACTCCGCAATATTTTCCGGACTTTCCGGTGAGAGTAGTAATGAACTCAATCCTCAATTGTAACTTCTTGTCAATACTTGGACAGCTCGCTGATGTAGCGGTTGGACCGTTTAACCTGGAGTATATACAATGGAAAACCTTCCACACATCGGCTCAACTCTTCTACGACGATCTGAAGATTGTGAGCGGCATGAATGATCCATTTGTATCGGACTCTGGGGCCTTCATAAACATTTTTGATCAACAGGTGAGAACTTAAAGCTATCCTACACATTGATTCTCAACAATGACTTCATGATTTTTTCAACTTGGCACTTTTACTCGCTGTATTTGCCTCGTGCTGAAAATAAGACCGATCATAAGCGACTTATCGATACCGCTCATAAATAACAAGCTTAATGGCGTGCATTCAATAGTAATTGTTGGGTCATGCAACAAACGTAACTTTTTTATAAAACACAGAACACAGACCTTGCTACGAGATTTCGAAATGACATTCTAAGATAACTTTGTATGACAAGAATTTGGCAAGCAATCACTTACATGAGCTATAAATGTTTTTCCCTCATGAGTTAAAAGATGCTAAGAAGAGCTTATGTTCTAGCCTGAAAAACACTATCGCTCCTGCTATCAAAATCACAATCTCTCCTGCTACTAAGAAATATTTAAAAAATAATCGACTTGTGTCAAAGTGCGATTTAGTAACAACTCGTAGAAGTAACAAGACGTTCGCGCTTGGTATCAAAAGTGGCACTCAACTCTCACACGTAGCAGGCTGAATGACGCACAACGTTGCACTCCGACTCTAGTCTTTGCTCTTTGTTGAATCGTAACATCGTCCCGGTCAGCATAAGAAACGAAGGATGTGGTTTACAATCCTTCTTGCTTCGCTGTTCGTTCCTCGTCGTTCTAATCGGCTAATTATGCAATCTTAATGGATACGTATCGATGATAAGAAACCAGGGACTTAACACGGCCGGCGTTTCTTAGGCTGTAAGTTACCCTATCGCAATTTTACGTATCATGTGACGTATTTTAAGAGGTAATGATGTGAACTCCGTCACTAACTGCAACCAATGACGATTATAGACCTTTTCATCGCTTATCACCCTGGCGGAAAATGCTGACTCACTGAGCTGTGGACGCATGCGCACCGTTTGATATACCGCGCAACAGAGCTACAGCGCATGCTCAGAAGGCATTCCACAGCCCAGTAGTTTCACCCAAGCATGCACAACCAACTCGCCCAAGCCTCCGTCCTCTCCTGCAGACAAAGATGGCCGAGGACAGGTGATTATTACAAAGGTCCACGGGCCGTGATAACGTCCGCCACCCATTTTATCTACAAAGCTGACTAAAAACCAGACACGTGATTAATCTTGACAACGCATAGCGAAACTGCACACATGCAGACACTTCTGAGTGTGTGGTATGTAAAAAAATTTCACGAAAAGATTGTTGTTCATTTCACTCACCTGGAATTCTTTTTCATAAAAACACCTCTGGCGGACCACGGCACCTTCAGTCCTGGATCTTCTTTTTGTCTTCGCTTTTCATCCTGATTGTCCTCTCCACGGCTTTCTACCGGATCGCCGGAAGGCAAAGAGCCACCAGTCTGTTCATGGATATTTCCAAGTACTTATATGCGTATATCGAAGTACTGTTTTTTGAAGGTAAGCTACCTGTGCTGTTGAGTCACTGCCGCAGGGTCAAACGAGTGGTCCTTGACGTTTCAAATTAAAGAAAATTCCTGGTTTCTATCCGGGTCCTACACGTGAACTGCAGCGGCAGCCAAGGCGCTGCGAGTTCTGCTACACACAGACTACGCACTATCACAATGCACGCTGACCATGATGGCCTCTGACGTCACAGTCTCAAGTTACGTCATGATTTTACTTGACGTAACAGTGTCGGTGAGTCGTGGTGTCACAAGACGTCACAATGTCTTATGACGGCATGGTGTCGTGTGACGTCATAGTGTCATGTCGCGTCACGGACCGCTCTCGCTAAGCGACAAAATGTCCCTCTAAATATTGCGTAAAACGTTTCCCCTTAAAGGGCTACTCCACCGATTTTTTCATTGTCTCCGATTTGCTTGAAATTTTGCTAAACTAACCAGCAAACATCGCGAAAATAGTATCCCAAATATAAGGTCAAAATATTGTTTTTTCGCGAAGTTATTGAATTTACAGTTTTGGTCCTCACAGTGTTTTTCAAGCTCGAAGTCTCTACTGGCAACAGTGAAAAAGTGACGTCAGTGGAAGGCAGGGGTTCACTCTTTGGGCTGTAGATTTTGTTTTAAACTGATTCGAAGCAGTTTCATGGTGTCAAATGAATGCTTGGGAAGCTCGCTGCAGTACCCGCGCTCCAGCACGGAGCAAATGATCGGCATATTCTATTTTTTGGCTGCTTGCTCGACTGGCAAGCCTGCCTGCCACTGACGTCAGGGCCCTGAAAAGCGCGCGTATATTTGAATGCTGGTTTTTGCATCATTTTCATTTGCCGATTTCGCAATAACTATTATGAATTTCGCGATTCTGAATAGCATACCGGAGAGAGTAAAGGCCGGGGAGTCAGAAAATATAGTTAGTTGAGGTAGCTCAAAAAATCGGTGGAGTACCCCTTTAACGCTAAATGTTCCGGTATCACGTGAGGACACGTGATACCGTGACACCACTTGATGCCACGACGTCAGCGAGGACAACCCTCCGCAAAACAGACGCAGAACCTCGTTAAGAAAGGCTGTCGTCCTAGACGCCTAATTATTATAACTCGTTTCTTTTTCTTTTCTTTTTTTAATGTAAATTTAATTGTCATGACGATTTGGTTTAAACAGGTGAAATGAACTAAGCATTCAGACGGTCATTCGCCTCTACTGCTCTGCGGGGTCCTATGAAGAGCAAGTCACATTTGGCATGATGCGGGAATGTTCCCGAGTTTTCGGCAGGGACCGCATGGCCATTGCGGCGCCAATTCCTTCACATCTCTTATCCACTAAACTGATTCAACAGAGACCAACAACTCGTTCTAAGATTTTATCGCAGCTGGTATACTTCCAGGCGTTCTCGCCAGTTAAGGCCATGCTTCCAGGGGGTGCGACTCTCAATGTTTGTGCGTTATGCCAGAAACTAAACATTTATTCCGGTCACAGCCACTATGGTGAAGTTCGTGCCGCAAGCCAACCGCATCCTTCTCGCTGTCTGGCTCATCGCCTGCCTCATTCTGAACAACCTATTCAACGGAGAAGTGAAGGCCAACCTCCTGGTCAAGTCGGACACCGCACGCATCAATTCGGCCGAAGACGTCCTGCGCGACCCCAAGATCGTGCCCATCACGATGAAGAACTCGCCGATCACCACGGCCCTTCAGGTAACATTCGTGCGACCACAAAAACCTCCGCGCCTGAATCTATTTCCTTCAAACTGACTACAACCTACTCCTTAGCATCACCGTCTGGGGTTTCATTAGATCGAGACCTTTAACCACAGGAACCGGCAGGGTAGAAGCCCTCATCTGTAGTTTTACGCAAATTTCACGATACTGAACATTGTGCACTTACTCTGCAGCAGGTGCGGACTAGCGAACTTACCAACGGGCAGAGCCTGACTTTGCCAAGGACCGCAGAAATGGAGAGTGGAGAAAGGGGGGGGGGGGGTAATTAAAATCAATTCTGGGCAGCATAACTCTTGCACAAGTTGAGCGGAAAGAGGGAGGGGAATTTTATATTTTTGGGACGAACCAACACACAAGAAAGTGCTAAAAAGGAATGCACGTTCAGAGTGTGACGCGCCTGAACGTGCTCCAAGATACTTTTCTTGGGTTGCCAAAAGCATGGTAGCGCTTTTTAGACGAAAACAAAAGAAAGAAAGACAAGACAGACACGAGCGCTCGTCTCTGTCTTGTCTTTCTTTCTTTTGTCCTCGTCTCAAAAGCGCTACCATGCCCTTGGCAACCCAAGACCGATACCAACTAGTCCAGCATTCAGCATTGATAAGTCCAAAATACTTTGTTTTTTTTAAAGCGCCGTCAGCGCGTCTGTGCTGCTTATTTTGATGAAGTCGATACTTACTACAACAAAGTGCTCCAGTTTCAAAAGTAAATTCCTAAAGACAACATAAGGAGTTGAGAAAGAAACAAAGGAGGAGGATACGGCGCTGTAGCCTTTGAGCTGGCGCCGGCCAGAAGGCTTAACTTAGCACGTTGTAACCTTGCCGGCCGGAACACCTTGGAATCTGTCGCACTGGTCACTTTATCCCAACTGCCACTTACCAGACCTGTACGTAACGCGTTATGAGTAACTCGTTACTTGTGCTTAGTTAATATGTGCAACGAAGTAGCACTCTAGTTACTTTTTAATTGAAGGAACGAGTAACCATTTTTAGTTACTTCTTGAGGGGTACGGCTACATCATAAGTACACAACCTTGTTCGCACACCAGCTTACGCCTGTACTTTGCACGACGAGAAATCGCTAGACAGGCCATAAACGATGCGGAGAAGGGACTTTAGTATAGTCATTGTTATTCCTCACCTAACGCCTTAAGAACGAGAAGAAATATTATCAACAACAAATATTGGAAGCGGACACGGCTTCAAAAAAACGAGAGTCGGAGTAACCAGAAACTAACGCGTAACCTTTGAGCTGAGGAAAAGTTCTAATTTTTAATCGCAGTTAAGAGTAACATAACTAGCTATTTTTGAGTGACTAACAAGTAACGGGTTTTACTTACTTTATTTCAGTACCGTGCACATGTTTGCTACTGACCTTTGGTCCAGGTCTCGAGCATGGAGTCAGTGCGGAAGTTGTACGACCGGATGGCCGCCATGGGGGGTGAGATACCCGTCCCGGAAATCTACACGGCCAAGACAATGGAGCTCGTCCAGCAGCGCAAGGCAGTCATAGTCACCGATATGATGACCGGTCGCGTACAGTCGTCTCTCTTCTGTCCGGTCTTGAGCGGCTTCTTCTACGTGGGCACGCAGATCCTCACCAGCCTGCGCTCCGTTTGGTATTTTCGCAATGGAATCGATCCTGCCGTCACCAGGGAAATCGACAAGAGGTTAGTCAACCTAAAACGTGCCATATTAACCTTCAAAAACATTTTCCTTGCACTCTCAGAAGTTTCTAAATGTACACTGCCCAACTATGTACGTGGGCGAACAAAAATCTGTCTTCCTTAGCCGATGATCCGGAAGGGCGGTATAACGCCCATCAATGAATGTGTAGTCTCCGAGGCAAAAATGCGTATTTCACTTTTGTACTTGAATCTGTGTTATCAATAATGAGCTGTGTACCAACCACCCTTCATTGACTGAACTTTTAAAGGACGACGAAAGGCTGTTGCTGGAGGTGCGTTGCTGTATACTATACTTACTCATATCTCTAGCAGCGCCTCAAGGCAGTGGCGCTTCCTGGCTCTTAGAAAAGCAATTTCCTGCGCATCCGCAATATCCAACACCGCCATGGGTAAATGCATTTGTTTATCAACAGTGCGCTTGTTGTAGCCCGCGTGCGCCTATTCCGTCGTACATGCCTCGGCTACTTAAAACAAATTACGTGACACTGAGCCTGGCGTATTTTATTCTCAGGTAAGACTCACTGCCACATCTCAGTCTAATTCTATGTAGAAGCATTCTTCCGGCCTCGACATTCGAATCAATTCCTTTGAGAATTGCACGAATTAACTGCCAGAGCGCTGTGCGAAGAAATTGAGGCGCAAGACATGTTCTTACTCTTGTTCTGCGAAGTACATGGCTCCTGTGTGGCACTATAAAGAACAAACATAATTGTCTTTATCACCCAAAAAACAAATTATTGTCTCCGAAAAATAGCGTTAAACCTCGCTCGCACAGAAATCAGGGTGTTTCGTGCATAAAACCTATAATCAATTTAGTCTCCTTTTTTTACACCGATCATGTGACCGCAATGGGAATGGGCAAATTACGCCCTTTCTATTGGATATTTGGATATTTCAGTGATTCTAGTAGTCCTAAAACAGGGAATGCCGCCCAGAGGGAAAACTTGGAGGAAAAAAGCGGGAAGCTAATGTCTAACCAATTCTGCAGCAGCTGGAGCACCCCGGCGGTCGAATTGTGAAACGGAGGAAAGGGGACGAGATGCACGAGGTTGGAGCTGTGAATACTGTAGAGAACTCCCGCACGAGTGTTAACTAGCTTTAGTTTTGAAACACTAATCATGTGTACCCCCTTTCATCAGTCTAATTCCAAGCTATGTGGGAAATGCGATTTTCGCTGAGGAATAGAATGGACGCCATATTTTGTTTTTTGTATGGAAGCCATTTGCTTAGTAGGGTGGAATATTTATTGGGTATCGCATTATCAAATCTAATAGAACTAAAGGCTAGTTCCCACAGTTCCCACAGCAGCGTTTTCTTACGTTACAACAATATCCCTGAACTGGCAGCCACGCTTAATAAAAAGCACAGATGTACCAGTAACTTTTAGGTGAGCTTTTGTTATTACTGTAATGTAAGAAAACATAAAATGTGCATTAAGTCTAAACTAAAGTCACTGATACTGGGAAACTGGCACCAATCCCGGAGAGGAGCTCGCTAGTGGTGCTTCTATTTTCCTCACTACGGTCAGTGCACGTGCTAACCACGCGGTTATGTTTCAACTTTCATAGAGCATAGAGGCTTGGCATTGATCCTGATTGCACCAGCAGAAGAAATTGAAGTATCATCAATCTGGGTTGTGAAACCATTCCACCATGAGGCGATACCAACACTTCTTGCCGCGAATTGCCTTCCGTGCGTGATAGCCGCACACAAACATACAGACGACCAAAATCTTGCAAGGCGATTGGCTAATCGGTGTTCGTTGCCATGAAAATCGTCATTTCGGTCCATTCAAATAGTCGTAGCTTTGAGAGGGTCATTTTAAATCAGTCGCACCAAGATTGCCATGGGGCATCATCATTCGGAAGGCGTTCATCGCCAATATAAGCGTTTTTGGCACTCTGTACGCCATAAACTTATCAATCATGCCAATCTCCAGGTATCTCCTACCATGATATTGTTCCTATTGCGTAACTGAAGAAAAGAAATATATTTTCCAATGTTTCGAGGCACCCACACCGCATCTGGAGGCAGTGCGATGAACGCTTGTTTCGCCGGTGTGTGGATACAAAAATCTCGGTATACAAGAAATGTATCTGAATAGCTACATTTCCCCATCGAATTCAGACTGACTCACCGGGAATGGACAGGCTAAGGAGAAATTGTTCATTTCATGAACCAAAATGGCAGCCATATGAGGAGCTTGGCGCTACTTTTCCAGGATCCAGTAACCTTAGAGTGAACCAGACTTTAAACCTAATAGGTACTTGTCTTTTTTGTAATCCTGTGGGTTTCTGAAACCCTGTTACCCCTGCTGCGTGTCTAAGAATTCTTTCCTATAGACATTTGCAAGAGAGGCTCCAAAAAACGAGCTTCTATTTTTGGACAACTACGGCGCCCCCTGATGTCCGGCGTGTTTCCCCCATCTTGGGGTGGGGAAATCAATCAGTAACCCAAAAAGCCCAACGCAGGTGCCTCACCGTGACCTCAATTAATGTTTCTTTCAGGCTCCCAGTATAACTTTTTTCGCCATTGGCCGGTTGAGTTGTGCTACTGATTTTTATTTCACTTTTTCACATTTTTGTGGTCGCAGTCAAAGCCTAGATATGTTTAATAAGCCGTGTTTATTATCGTTAGTCAAGAATCCCTAGCGTTTGAATATTGCTCGGATTGTGAAATGGTACTCTCACACGTATAAAACTATAACCTTTTCGCACACTCGTGATCGGTTGAGTCATTTACAAGCAGTGCGTTTGCTATGGCTACACAATGTGCGACTACAGTGACCCTTTCGTGCAGCACGTACATGCTCCTACCGGGGACGGATTTATAAATCAGGTTTTGAGGGGGGGGGGGGGGGGGGGGGGGGGGGGGTCTGCATGCAGAGGGGTGGCATTAGGGGAGACGCCTTGCCTATATAAATTTTATTGACCTAATCAGTGCCATGTCACCAAAACTAACCATTTCTTTCTAAAGAAAGTTAATGTAAACCGTTTTTCCCATAAGAAAAAACGTTGACCTTAACGGGACACTGCAAAGAAAAAAAAAAGCTTTCTTTTAATTGAACTAGATGGGACACGTAATTTTTACAATATTATTTCCACAAAAACTTATGTTGTTTGCGCAATATTCACACCGTTAGACTCAACTTAGGTTCAGAAGATGGAGGTCGAAGCCCGCTGATCCCCGCCCCGTGCTTACCAGGTGCTTACCTCTCTCATTGGCTGGAGACATGATTGACGTGTGAGAGGTTGGGTCTAAATTTATATCTCCGTGCCGTAATATCAATTCATTCGGCTATATTTTTTATGTTTGTGAAGCAAATAATCAAGATAGAGTCAGTATTGTTTTCAAAGAAATCCCGACATTGCTTCTCCCGCTTTGGTTTGCAACGTTAACAAAAGTGCCGCCGTCCGCGGAGTGCTGAACGAGCGAAGCTCGTTCAGCTTGTCAATATTTATGAGTGCGGCCGCCTTTGAGTTCACAGGGCTGTTTAGAGGAAGATATTCTAAACCGACGTAGTTTGCTTCAAACAACTGCCGCAAGTACATGCCTTCGGAAGCGCTGTAAGATGCTTGCTTTCTTGGCGGAACTGGACTAAGCCTGGCGTCGAGATCAACTATTTTGATCGATCTGGGTTGGCTTCTTTCTTTGCGCTTGCTGATACTGAACAAAGTTGTTGTTCCCGTAAACGCGGCCCCCATGCTCTGTGAATTGTGCAACCGTCATGATTGCGACCATGGTTTCCATACTGAAAAGATTCCTACACAGGAAAGAATTTGCGAGCCTTTTGGTTGGAAACAGTCGGGTGTTTGGATATTATAAAGTTTGTCTACGTATGTTTCCGTCATTTCGCCGGGAAAGGCAAGTAGCTCTCGAAATTTGCGTGCACCCTGGCCTACCAAAGAAAATGTTTTTACACCGGCACGCTGGCCGGTTTAGCATCGCGACACGCGACCGGAGCGTCAATACAACCAAGAGCACCACTTGGCAGGAAAATAAGTTCTCAGCGTGGAGACTGCAAAGACCATACCGATTCCAACCTCCGGTGTCACGTTTGTTGGACGAGTGCGGACGATCCGAGTCACCGCAGTCAGAACAAAGCAGGGAGCGTGACTCGTAACATTGCAGTTGGGCGAAGCCAAACGCAGAGCGGCGACTAAAGCCACGCTCACACCTCTAATACATTATACAAAAGACAGTTTATAGGCTCTGTCTTAAGCATTTCTTGTATGACAGTCACAATGGTCATACAAACACTGTCTGATGACATCTTTGAAGCGCACATATAAGCATGGGAAACAAACATGATTCGAAAATGCTTGAGTGCTGTCCACAGAGTATTCTGTCATCGTGTCAAGAGCAAACACCGTGTTTCTTGCGTGATATGTGAGGAGTCTGAGGGCGGCTTTACGTTGTTTCTAACGTCCGTTTGGGTGCACCATAAGACGAAAAGCAGTGCGTTACTGTGGTATGCATATTTTACCGCGTCCTCTCATGTTGGTCATGCAGGATCCTGTGGGTCTTCGAAAGCCCGTTTCCCCTGCTGCGCTACCACGAGCTCTTCCCCAAGGGGTCCACCTGCTTCCTGGACACGTACAAGCAGGACCGCAGCAGCTCTTTCCATCCTCTCAGTTTCCGGGACATGCGAGCCGTCTTCATCCTGACCGGCTTCCTGTTCGCGCTGGCCTTTGTGTTCCTCTTTATCGAGCTGGTCGTTTTCGGGCTTTACCGCTGCGCCGACTGCATTGCGGGAGAGGCGCACGCTTACCCACGCTGAGGTTAAGAGCGCTTTGATTCACAGCTCTCTTTTTGCAAGACATACGAAGTTAAAATGAAAACTACATGCCACGCAGCTTTGCAACTTCAAACTTCAAAAAATGTTTGACAGACGAGCGGCGTATTTTTCGTACTCCCCCACCCCCCCCCCCCCCCCCCCCATGCACACACAGACTCTCACATACCCACACCGCGGAAATTCTACTACGAAGAAGATTGCATTAGGTGGCTTCTTTACCTAGATTACTGCTATTAGTTTTATTACTGCAATAATATCAGCATTGTTTGTGTAGATAGTGTTTTGCATACACCACAGAACTCTTTGTGGCGCAGGTCCGTATATTGTCGAAGTCGCAAAACTCTTAATATAAATCCTCATACCACATATCCCTAACAACTTAAAGCCCTGAACTCTACCATAAGCGCGGATATCGCTGGTGGTGATAAAAATTCAAAGGTAGAAAGCGACAGAATGGCGGAGAAGCAATGCAGACGATGCGTTGATTTTTGTCGAGTGCATGCCAACGTAGCTGTTTCTTTCTTTGTAGAATACTTGACGACGATGATTACAAGCAGAACGAAACTGAACATGTACCAACTTTGTATGAAATATTTTGCGGCTCCTTCGCATTTAATAAAGCCTCCCAGCGACTTGAGCCCACTGAGGTCACATATGTTCCTGTGTTCCGCTTTTCCGATACCGCCGAAACACGTGCTTTGAGACAGCATACATTTTGCTTTAGACTTAGATCTCTGTCATATCATATATCCTCCGAGTAATTGCATTGGTAGATGCAAAGCTGCAGAATCAAAGGGAGATAATCTGGCAGCGCACAAATTCTCGAATTGTTTTATGCCTTAGGCTTATATAATCTATATGAAGTCTCATATATTTATTGTTCGAATCATATATAATTGTCGGCTTTTATTAGGCATGTGACCAAGTAATCGCTGCAATATGTGAAAAGGATCTAACAAAGGACGAGATAGAAAAAACGGTTGAACTCCAACGTCAAATCTGCCCATGGACTCTGAGAATGTGAAGGGATATGCTCATATTCTCTACGCAGATTGCGTTTCCGACACAAACTGAATTTGGGTTTGCGTCATTCACTGAATGTGATTTGTAGAATACGGTTTTTGGTAAAAGCATCTGCTCAACAGAAGATTCAACGAGAAGGCATATTGAACAACGATTTATTTCCATGATGTGAAGGCTCTGCAAAACTTCAATGTTTTGCAGAGCCTTCACATCAACCTTACGCTTGATTTTATTTAACGTTCTGGATTTCTATCATAGAACCAGCATTTCTAAGAAGGATTAATCAGGCAGAAAATGTTTCAACGCCCAGCGTAAAAATTATTTGACTATTTGACACGTCCGGTCTCGAAGACGTGATAATAAAATTTATGTAATTTTGACACTCTTTGTCAAATCGTTACGTACAGACAAAAGATAAAGGTATGTACAGCTAGCCCTTTTTGTGGGTTCAAAATTTCACGTCAACGTGCCTGCTGAAATGACTTGCAAGAGCGCAGCTTCGCCGTCGTGCGATGTAAGTGCCACGTCCGAAAGGACTCGTTCGGCAGTCGAGCACACTGGTATGCGCTCGCTGCATGAGACATATCCAGCGTTAAGTGGGATCGAAGCTTCTTAGGCATGAGACACAGAAACACGTGACTCCGTCAACACAACAATACCCAGAATACCGTCCACAATCAAACAGTGTAAACTGCTATCAATGGCGGTTACATTTACATGGGGCGTAAAAATAATTCAAATATTATTTTGAAGAAATACGTCATAATAACGGATTCCTTATCCCGACGGGGGCGTCAAGTTATTTAATGACAACTGTTTTCACCGGAAAAAAGACAGCTTGATCTTAAGGAAGAAACGTAGACAGAAAGTATGAGAGATGAGACGAGACGGCTGACTACCAACGCGCTTTAGTGAAACTTCGTCTTCCCTAAGTTCAGGCTGTTTTCTTTTTTTTTTTTTTTTCAAGTATGTACCAACAAGTTCAACACATCGCGGTAACTGTTCTCAATTTAAGAAAACTGATATCACAAAGGTCAAAATAATTTCGAAGATTTTTTTTTATGTTGTTTTTGCTGTAATTTTCACATTGAACGTTGAAATAGCCGCTGCCTTATAATTACTCCATCGCGCGAAAATACGGCTTGAATTAGTGATAAAGCCCCAACAACTTACCTCATCCAAATGTGAGTAATGAAATGAGTCGCGAATAATTCATTCTCAGCGTTGTGACACTCTGTCGCGTTTTAAATATAAACTCTTCTATGTTTTCAAGAAATCCAGTACAGTATGCAAGTAAAAAGAAATCAATATATTCTCCTTGGGTTTAAGACAGCGTAATTAATGATTCCGGGTTGAAAACGACTTCCTTTCCCCCTTAAGAGTTGGTACGACCTAATTGCTGTAAGCCATCTATCTCTTAAAAGTTTTCCAAAGGTCATTTCCAAAGAGGGAGACTTACTTCCGATTTTCAAACGAAGTCAGCAACAAGTAATCTAATGCACGTCTGTGTTCGAGCATGTTTCTGGAAACGATTGAATCGTGATTCAGATGGAAATCGTGTCAATTCCTTGAACTCGTTCATCTGATGAGGAAAATAGAAGATGTTTTCAGAACAATTAGAACCTACACGCTATGCCGGCGTTCAAGAAAAAAAAAAGCAGCAGTCTGTGTTAAATCTTTTCAAACGAGATTGATTTTTGTGGCAATCTTGCTTAAAAGCAGCGTACTTCCGTCAAGTTGAACGATTCGTTCACGTTGCCGCCAAGGTCCACTGACTTGCGGTCATTTTGAACATGCACCTGAAGGTTGCAGGGGTCCCGGTAAGCTTATTAAATTCATTCCGAGGCAAAATTATATAGGCATATCTTTTTTTGCAGCGGATTATTAGAGTAGCGGGAATGTCAATTGCAAACAACCATAACACAAAGTTTTGCTTTCTAATAGTTCCCGACTTTAGTAGCAGGAGTATCGGATATTAACATCAATGATATCTGTCTAGCTGTATGCTATTTCACAATAGAGTGGGAGAATCAATCTCTGCTAATTATTGAACGAGGCCAACCAATCAGAAGATCAGTCGATGCAACGCTGCAGTAACCACGCAGTTTACAGGGTAAAATGACACTCGCACCTTTTGCCATCTAGAGTGCGTGTTCATTTTGGTGTGACACCGCCCGCTTTTCTCATCGGTTGAACTGCACCAAGTAATAGCACTTCTTTTTGCTTTGCGGATACCGCAGAACAGTATACACGAGGGAACTTCACAGTCGCTAACAAATTAAGAAATGCAGGGTGTGCCCCGTGTATCCTATGATCACCCCGGAGTCATATATATTACTCCATAAAGCGATAAACGATTCCAAAGAATGATTAAGTAAGACGAGAGGAAAACGAGCCCCATCCGGTGTTTCTCCAGGTTTCGCAGCTATGCAAGTTTGTAGCTTTAAGCAGCGATAGCTTAAAACGCGGGATGTGGCTTGCTACTTTCTTGCTTTGCCATTCGTTCTTCGCCGTTTTCATCACCTAAGTTTGCTACCATACAGGCTGGAAGATAATAATAAGATGTTCGAGACTGGCAACGCCCTTTGATTCTGAGGTCATTGGTGTGCGTAGTAGGATACCATTAAAACTTCTTGTCTTTGAGAAATGGAACGGGGATGGCAATCAAGAGGTCGGGGTTTATACTTTTCTTATATCTTAACTATTATTTTAATTACCTACAGCTGATTAATGCTCACATGGGATATTTGTAACTTAAACATCTTGGACGGAAATCTATCCGGTTGGGTTGAACTATAAAAGTGAAAGAAACTACTAAAAACAAAATCCTCGAAAAAGTGTCCCAACGTTTCGATATTTGTTTTGGGGGCGCGAATTGCCCAAAATCTAGATAAAAAGAAGACGAGCGCAAGGCGCGAACTCACGCGAGAATAAAATGAAAGAAGCACGGCCAACGATCCCGTTAGGTTCGTGGAGAATCTGTTGAATCGATAGATTTAATCAATGTAAATAGTGTAAATAAATATGTAGGACCTAATTGTGGTCGCTACAGTTTTTTTTAATCCTATATACTACATGTCGGGAAATTCTGAATATCCTTAGCATGGACAATAGGGCTGGGCAAACGGTTATTCTACCGATTAATCGATTAATTTTTTCATCGCGATTAATTTTTTAATAGGTTAGCCGGTTAAATCTGGACTAAAAAAAGAAAGTAAACTCAAACGCTTTCATCACATAGGCATGGACGAGTTCACCTGTATTAAGGGGGAATCTTTAAGTGTAACTTTTACCTACAGTAAACTGGTTGGACGAGATTTGTAACTACAAACAACTGCAGAAGGTTATACGTGACCCGGCCACTTTATCGCAGTGCGAGTGTTCGTTAAGCGCAGCAGACACTGCTGTGAACCATTAAAGGCGGTCTCTCTTGCGGGAGAGTATCAACGAACCTGTTTGCATCTACAGGTGACGTAATATTATTATCACGAATGACAATTGATGAGGCGACGAATGACTGACGGAAACTAAACGTTTCATGGGGCGATCGTGTGCCCAAAACAAAACAGGAAAAGGCTAGCGTCGTAGGCGTCGATGGAGGCGTAACAGCAGGATCAAAAGCGGGGGGGCGAGACTGACCGCGGCTCGCCACGCGGAGTCCCTTGTGTACACGCGTGGGCTTTTGAAACAATCGGCGTAGAAGGTTCGGCGCGTAAAACATTCGGACGGCGAACAAGCAACAGGATCCTCAAATTCACTCAAATGCGGCACCTACAGAAGCAACAAAAAAGGTGCCTCCGCGGCCAGGCATCGCACTTCGGCCCTTCCTGTGGGAGCCAAGCACGATACCCAATAGACCACAAACGCTTTTTTTTTGCTTCGGTTACGGACGCGTTTGTTTAGAGACGCGTGTGGCAATATGATACTGAGTGTCTTTGGGCACATTGAGGTTCATTCAGAATCAAAACTGTGCATTGCGCCGTTTATCGCATGTTCAGCAAAAAAAAAAAAAAAAAAATGTACTTCTAATTTTAGAAAAAAAAAAAAAGAAAAAAAATATATATAAGAAAAGCGGTCCCCGCTTGAAACGTTGGTGAAGTAAAGGCCTTTCCTGCAACTCCCCAACTTTCGTTATATATATATATATATATATAGAGAGAGAGAGAGAGAGAGAGAGAGAGAGAGAGAGGGAGAATGCATGTAAATATGAACAAAAACGAATAATTAATCAATGAAAAAGTGGAGAATAGTCGCGTGAAATATTTAATCGGTGCACTCTCTGGTATACAATCCCTCTAACCCCCCTAACACACAATAAACTGCCAATTCAGTACCCCTCAGAAATGAATCAGGTTGTTTCTCTTTTCTCATATAAATTATCAGTGTCGCGAGTAACTTTTTTATATCAGAAAAGCCACTCTTTCTGTTATATGATACCTATCTTTTTTGTTTCCTAATAATGTTTTAGTACCCTCCGTACGTGATCATTTACGAAGACAATGGAATAAAGAAACTGCATGGAGTCATTGGATCGGCGTTCTCAAACCTCACAACATCGATGAATATCACGTAAGTTCTTTGATTTGTGCACCGTTTACGCGACTGTATGCATTTAGCTTCGGCTGACAGAGAGACTTCTGCTATGCAAATAGCCTTTGTTCTGGGCATTCCAGCCCAAAAATTTACAAACACATCCTGGAATCACTAAGAGCTATATTATGAGCATGCATCTCGAGTTTTCAGTTCTGAAGCTAGGAGCCTGTAATGACCTATGGTAGTTGTGTATCCCTAATATGCATAGCCACCAAAACAAGCATAACATGTACCCAATATTTACCCTATATTTTACATAAGGACTTCATATTTATGATGAACTCGCTCACTGACATTTTATAAAATTACCAATAAATGCACATTAAGTTGTTTACCAAACAAGGAGCCATGTCATAATGCGAGTTCACAGGCCAGTGCGGGAATGCCCCCCAACTTGGACTGCCTTGTAATACTACGATGATGAGGACTAATTCAGGAATGGCAGTAAGTATTTCGAATACGCGTATTTAAAATACCTCTTTTAAAGGGTTTCAATGTTTTGTATCTTGTATTTGCCTTTATATTACATAGCGTATTTTAAATTGTATTTGAAGACTAAAAAAGAAGTATTTCATAGGAAATTGTTATTAAATACCATTTCAAATACAATCACCAACTGGAATTAAAGCAGATGTCGGCACGTTTACCCGGCCAAAGGCCGGCATCTTCTTAGCGACACCTGGTTTTCAGGTAAGTAAATTGCCAGCGCAGCACACTAGAAACGTGGGGTTTTAATTGCACGCATTCAGTAGTATAATAACACAACTACACGCTAGTCTAAGGGTCAACCACATTAAAACTGCCAGATTTAATTCTTGGACCGAGGTCTTCAAAGTGCGCGACTCACCTGTTTTACACTCCCCTTAATTTCTTTACTGCCAAGCACAAATGGGTGATCAATAGTCACGTGGTCCTCATCTCTTGCAAACAGATTCTTTTTTTGTACTTGAGTTTATGATAAAAAAAGCATATTTTTCCGACCTTCAGAGACTTGTTCCTGCACAAGGATCATTCGACCTTCTCTCCTAATCAATGCCAAAATATATTGTCGTTATATTTGCGATTTACATTTATACATTTTTTTTATCGTAGAATGCGGACTATATTTATTATTGTGGCATTGGACTCTTTTAAGGGGTTCGCATAAAGATCAAAGATAAGCTATGGGAAACAAATGTATCTACAAAAGTATTTTAAGGGGATTCAATGATTACTCTTGCATTTTTAATTTGTATTCAAATACTTTTTTATAACAATTCCACTTGTAATAAATATATTTGTTCAAAAAAGCTTGTATTTATATTTGGACACATTGCAAGTATTTTGCCCGTCTCTAATCTGAATGAACCAGCGTGAGTTCACAGAGTAAGTGCCCCATAAATCCCATGAATAGAGAGAGTCCAATGTGGCGCCGAAGTGGGCCCCGATAGGTACCGTAAGGAGGGATCAAGTGGACTGCCAGGGTAGCCCCGCGAGGATCCCATAAGGGAGTTTCCAACGGGCCATCTGGCTGCGCCCAATTTCGTCGCCTATGAAGTCAAGTTGCAAATCCCATTGGAACGACCCTTTCATAAACAGCCCATGTGAGGCCTATAAGAGCCACCCTATCAGGGCCCACTTCAACCTGCTTAAAAACGTACGAGAATAACAAGTATTTGCTCGAAGTAAGAACGCCGTTTCTTTTTGAAAGCTGTTCCGGTCCTAGTCACTTACATGGGAACACGTTTTCCGACTTCTTCAGGCACGAGGTTCTGTTTCCGACAGACAGTCAATATGGAGATATCGCCCCAGACGGATCCATACATGGGTCCCTCATGATGATCAACAAAGAAGTAGGTTGACAATCGTTACATTTCAAACACTTCTTCGATATTTGCCACGTAGAAATAAAAAAAAATATACAGATTTTTTTGTTGTTGTTTATCTTTCTTTTCCTCGCGATTGAAAAATAAACGGGTTTAACGCTTTGAATGGTTCCAAAACACAACCGGACGGAAGGAAGATAAAACTAATACAAATTATGTAGCTTATCCCCAGAATCTCTGAACTTCTATTGCTTGCCATTTATGACATGTGACGCTCCAATTGTATTCACTGACGAAATGAAAACGGTAGGGTGTCTCTTGAACGGCCGACCTCCAGCCCGCGCTTTATGACTCCGCCGAGCTTTGACTGCACATGCGCTCTTGGTGCACGAGACGCTGAATCGTTGTCCAAGGTAGGAAGATCGCGCTGGTGAGGGAAATCGAAAGCTCCTCACTGTCGTTTTCATCTTCTCAAAGGCAATGGTCATACAAAATTTAAAGATGTAAAAAAAATGGTTAGGAAGCATGGTTTCAAGCGCAAAAAAAACAACTGACACCAGGAAGAACACAGACACAGAAGCGCCTTACACCATGCTTCCTAACGTTCTCCAATTAGCCAAATATAAGGTCTACTACAGTAAAAAGAACTGTGTTTTTACTTCCTCGTCCTTTACATTGCCGTCTGCTTTCCTCCTCGTGCCCTTTTGCTGTTGCTGTTTTTTTTTTTTTTTTATTTCTGAGTTCTTTCGGAGACTTTGTACCCAAGCACATCATTTCGGAGCCGCCGTTTGGATATTCAGACTTTCTTAATATCTCAATGTCTTGATAACCACAGAGGCTCCAGAAAAGGCAGGCTCGTACCATTTGACTTGTTCGAACTGAAGTCATTTTGCAAGGTTGGATTTTTGGGACTAGACATTGGTACCGTGTCGTTATTCCTGCTTGGAGTTATTCGGTAATAATCTTCTCTTATTTTCACCTTGTGCCAGCAATTTGTTTGATCTAAATTAAGCAATGGTTATTTCAATCTCATAAATGCGAAAAAAATGTAACTAAGCAATTGGATTTTTTTTTTTTGCGTTGATTAATTATCTTATTATCCTGTCTCCCATTTTTCAGCTGGCGGATGTAGCAATTGGTCCCTTCAACCTGGAATACATTCAGTGGAAGGTTTTTCCTACTGCCACCCAACTTACCTACGACAATTTCCAACTGATAAGTGGCATGAAGGACCCCTTTGTGTCCGACTCGGGTGCTTTTATTAACATATTTGACAAACAGGTGACTACACATCTATTTATTTGCATCTATACCTGCTCCGCCGTTAGTCAGGGAATACATAAGTGCAGACGTAAAAAATACATGCGCAAAACAAGCAAAAGAAGATTGTTTACTTACTTTAGATCGTATTTCTTTAATATAGCCTAGAGACGAGCATCATCGACAAAAGTAATGACTTTTTTTAGTATATTTCAATCTCGGATATATGATTTTAAAAAAAAGCGAGGAGGAAAAAAAAGGTAGCTATGATAAAGATATGTTTCTATTTTGTTTTAAAATAACCCGACCTTGAAGACGTAAAATGTGGAGGCAGGATGCAAAAGGCCTCTTTCAACCTTAAGAACGTTCTACTTTGTTAAAATATATTTCAACCCAATATGTCCTTTATCTCAGTGCATCTTGTAGATGGGTGGCGGTCACGTATTACAAACCTTAGCGCTTGATTTCGAATTCGCTCAATCTTATAACCCAAATAACAAAAGCATATGCTAAAATTACTCCAACGAATGAGAAACACGATGTTTGTTTTACACTGCGGGACGTATTTCTCAAATTTCTCCGTATAACATGCATTTTACTGGCCTTGTCTACAGCGTTATCTACGTAACCGTTACATTTCAAAATGGATAGAAAAGCATTTGCGAGATACTAATACCCTTCTACACGTTCAAGTATACAATAATTTTGTTCACTCGTTTTTCCTCAGTTACATCATAAAAAATGTATATTTACACTTCTTTCTATTTAATGTAATTTTTGAATTAGCGCACCATAAAGAATAGCGTTCAGAGTTCTCGATAAAATATGCTCATGCGAGCACTCTTGCCAGACGTGTCTGCAGATATACTTGTTCATGGTGAACTCTGAGCGCCATTCAGTTGATCTTTAGTCACCTAAACCAATAAGATGGGAGAACTGTATAATAGCCATATGGTCTACATGTCGAATAAGTTTAGAACCTGTACGAGATATAGGCCTTTAAAAACATCAAATACGTGAAAACGATTTCGTGCGTGTAGATTAAACACCATTTAGCAGCCCAATCAAATTTCAAATGTAGTTTTTTTTTTTAGTAGGTTATTGGTTATGTGTTCGTTTTTATCGCCCATACCGCCTCACTGAAGGTTACTTAAATAAAAAAAAATGTGTCGTGGTTTTTTAGTGGCACTAAACAAGCAACATCATTCTCCCCAATTGAGCGCACCGAACTTGAGCAAGCGCAGTTTCAGATGGTATTTATTAAGAACAAGAATGGTCGGCAGAAACCTTGTAGTACACGTTTCGTTTTTAGGTGACTTAAATACGCCTGTTTTAAGAACAGTTAGAGGGTCTTCGGAACGAACTTCTTTAAAGTACCGTCTAAGCAGAGCACGCCGATGGGCACGCGCACAGTTCAGATCGCGAACGGATTCGCCAATTCTTTAAACTAGTTCGTTCACGAGGTATTTCAAGTGCCCATAGTATAAGTCAACTACGTGTACGGCCAAAACCGTTTCTTGCTGAATAGTAGGTTTACAAAAATGTGTATGATGTTTAGAATGCCTCTGCTGTTCAGAGTCAATTGTTGTCAATTCAGTAATCACATTTAACGAAGTCGTCATTCGTAAACCATGTATTAAAAAACGTTTTCACGAACTTTTAAAAATATGTCAGTGTATACTGCCCCATGATGCACTGGAATCATTTGTCATTCTTAATAAGTGGAAAAAAAAAAGAGGAGCCGGTTTCATTCCGGTGTGGTAATTGGCGCAAAGAGAGGTGAACGCACCATTGCCTTCGAAGCTAAATTACCATCGGAACCAAATACCGATCCCTTATTTTATGGGTTGAACGGATTAGAGGAACGCCAGTAGTTAGTACCCTGAGAGCATCGAAAAGCCACATACCTGCACGAACATCTGAAGGCTTCTCCACGCTTTTGCGTTGGACCACGACCTTGAGCCTTGCAACCACATGTCACAATTTCTGACGAAAGGACACGCATTGGACGCGCCATCTATTGGGTATCCTAGGAAAGCGTTTAGTCTGCGTATATTTCCTAATGGTTTATGAGTAATTATTTTTTATGTTCGCTCGAAATAATTCTGACAACGTTATAAAGGAGCATTCCTCGTAGATAGTGCCTAGAACTGACCTCACTAAAGCTGCAAAACCTTCAGTATAAGGCTATAAGCCATGCGGAGATCGGAATCGTTCAAGGGTTACCTGACAGATGGCGCCTGTGTGCCGGCTTTTTTTCTTCTGGCAAGAAAGTTAAGCCAAAGATCTTGTCTAAATAGGCATTAAAGGGATAATAAAGTGCAGCGTGAAATCGTTATCATATGACCCTAGCCCAACCTATGTGCCCTGAGCGTCTGAAAAAAAAGAGAAACGACATTACAATCTAATGTCCCTTTTTTCCTACTAAAAAAACACAACCAGGCATCCCGACACACCCCTTTTTATAGATGCATCCTATATCTCATAAAAGGGGCGTTCCACGGTGTTTGGTCATGTTTTTAATAGAAAAAGAAAAGTTACACATGATTCTAGTTTAGTGCTTTTTTATATGCTTAGGGCACATTGATTGAGTTTGCCCGTAAAAAGACATGTTTAAAATTCAGTTTAATGTCCTTTTAAGAGTGCGGAACTTCTTCTGGTGTTACTCATTGCCTCTCGCGCTTCTCGGAATGCCGCGTCCGAATGGCGACCACGGGGACGACAGTCCTGGATCCTGTTCCTGATCTCCCTGACGAGTCTCATCGTGCTCTCTACGGCCTTTTACCGGATTGCTGGGAGGCAGAGGAAGACGAGTCTTTTCTACGACACGTCTAAGTACTTTTACGCATACATCGAAGTACTTTTTTTCGAAGGTAAGCCATTTGCAAGCGATATACGCTCATATGTCAACATCTATAATTGTTTTTGAGTTGGGAGACTCTTGTAGATGAAATAGGAGTGTGGTAACTGACCAGGAAGTAAAAGTTTGACAAATAGGTGTGCGCGCTTTGTTACGAGGCATGTGCACGGAATACGGGCCCACAATACCACTCATCACTTGCTTTGGCTAAACTCACTAAATAAAAAAAAAATATAGCGGTGTTCCGAGCGCTTCGGGTGGCAGTCTGCCTCTACGAGCTTCGTACAACGTAGAAATGACTTAAAGAAAAAAAAAAAAAACTCCGAGAAATCTTTTAGTCATCAAATCAAATCAAATCAAATCAAATCATGTTTTATTTGTTGTCACATCTCGTTACATGAAAACAGGGGACTTGGGACAAAAAGCTGCTGAGTAGCAGCTTGACGAAGGTCCCAGCCCCCGTGCAGTTCGCAACAGCAAAAAGGTAAATAAAAACAAAACACACACACACAAAAAACAACTAAATATTACATAAATGTAGACACATCTTATAAAAATGTTTTGTGTAGTAAGCACTTTAGTCAAAAACAACAAAGAAAAAAACACAATACCCGGCAATAAACCACAAGAGCGGTCAGCAAATACACAAAGAAAGCAAACAGGAAAAAAAACAACGCCAGTATTCAAAACGTCATACAGAAAAAAAAAAATTTACTAACCCTTTATGTGAAAGTGCCTCTAAATTTATACTCTTTTTGTACAGAGTGTTTAGTATGGTGGACACATTACAATGAAGCGTCTGATCAAGGTGATTTGTGCGGGATGGACGGATTACCCAGGGCTGACTCGACGTCCCCGCGAAAAAACGGCAGCTATAGTTTTAGGCTTCCTGAAAGTTCCATTTCAGATACGTTTTTATATTTTGCTTCCAAAACGTTCAAATTATTCCTAACCGCCACAACAGCAGCAAAAAAAAAAAAAAAAGGTATCGTGTTTATCAGTTAATGCCACCGACCCTATAGAACTTTGCCTAACATGTCACCCCGGTGGAAAAATGTCGAGTCACTGAGCTGTGGGCGCATGTGCAGGGTCTGATATACCGCACAGCAGAGCAAAGGCGCATGCTCAGAAGGCGCTCCACAGCTCAGCAGACAAAAATGGCAGCGCGCAGAAGTCGATTTTTGCAAAGGTCTATAGCGCGACAGTATTTCGGTCCCCTGTAGATTTCGGGTACTACGCTCATTTCTTCCTCGGCGAAACACAACAACCGGGCCAGATTCTTTTTTTTCTTTCCGGAAACCGATAATTGTAATAGGTTTATGAGGGCAGAAAACGAATGTTTGCCGAACAAAAATAAACAAAAAGAATACCTGAAGTGCGCAAGGGTCCGTTTCGAATGGGCGGTAGTGAGGTTGTTGGCAAAAATACGCTCCAGTGAATGACGAGTCAGCGTTCGGCGAAGGTACGGATCCCATCACAACTTCAGTGCCCAAGAAATGTCGACCTCCAATATTGTAGGACGTCCCTTTAAAAAAGGTATTTTGCCTCACTCAATCGCAGCCACGAAGGTGAAGTTCGTGCCGCAGGCCAATCGCATCCTGCTGGCCGTGTGGCTGATCGCCTGCCTCATCCTGATTAACCTGTTCAACGGAGAGGTGAAGGCCAACCTCCTGGTCAAGTCGGACACGGAGCGCATCAACACGGCCGAGGACGTCCTGCGCCACCCCAAGCTACTGCCTCTCACCATGAAGAACTCGCCGCTCACAACGGCGCTTCAGGTCAGGTATCGCTAAACATGGCGGGCCTAAGTACAGAGCGCGCGAGGACTTCAGGGCACCGAACTCTGGTTGGAATGATTATTGAGCAGACCGAAAGCCCAACAAGCCTTTCTCTCTACTTACTGTTAGAAAGCCGAACGCCGGCAGCCTATGTTCCGCGTTCGGTTTTGAAAAGTGGGTAGAGAGAAAGGTAGGTTGCTTTCATCTCCTCCTCTTCCTCAGTCTCTGCCCGTATAGCCAAACTTCATAAGATATACTCAGTTAATCTCTTAATAGGCCCCAAGTTCGCAAAATCAGAGAAACGCAATTGAAATCTAAATGATGCCGCTCTTTTCGAGGCGTAAAAAAGTGTTGTGTACTTACTTTACGTGAAAAAAATGTGGATACTGAAAACCGAAACAAGTAGAAGATGGTTTAGACAACTTAAAATAAATTCCCCCCCCCCCCCCCCCCCTGTCCAGCAACGCCACAACTTGAAGGACTGCGCAGAGGATAATGGCTCAAGTACACGGCTTTCTGGATCGCAGAGAGTACTACAAATATGCATTTAAGTCATTTTCCGACTATATTGGGGCCATAAAACACCATAAAACCCAAAATCACATATGAAATAAATTTGACATTGTTTGACCTGCATTAGAACTTTGTATCGCAGTCTCACCGCAAAACGCAGAAAACCTTTTCAGTTCTGCCTCAGGTGATAGTTGCTACCGTAGAATTACAGCCGGTTTTGACTACCCTCCGTTTCGCTTTTATTTACACTGACAGTTGTGACGTGGTGTTCTCCAAGACCAAAGCGGAGATAGCCTTTCGCACCCCTCAACTGCCCGACTCGCTTTTCGATGGCGCCAGATCTCGAGCATGGAGTCCGTGCGGAGGTTGTGGGACCGTATGGCTGCAATGGGCGGCGCCATTCCGGTTCCGGAGGTCTTCACCGCCAAGTCGCTGCAGATGGTGCAGCAGCGCAAGGCCGTCATAGCCACGGACATGATGACCGGGCGCGTCCAGTCGTCGCTCTTCTGCCCCGTATTGGACGGCTTCTTCTACGTGGGCACACAGTCCATCACCAACCTGCGTTCCGTCTGGTACTACCGGAAGCGGATAGACCCCGACCTCGTGAAGGCAATAAACAAAAGGTTGGAATTAGACAATCTTTGAATCAATGCGTGATAGGTGTTTGCTGCAGCCCGTGTTTTGCAATGGAGAGTAACAAATAATTTATTTCGAATACCGCCAACCTTAAAGGGCAACTCGGCCAAAACTCAAAATGAAATAAATTACTGATATCGATGTAGTGACACAAAATACGACCCCAGCCAAAATATCACGTCCGTCGGACGCCGCATTCTCAGCTAACGCCGCGAGCCGCTACTCCTTAGTGGGCGACCAGCGGGTTGCCGATCGCTAAAGCAACATTGGACAGTGACGTCCGTATCGTTCTCTTTTTTTCCTCCGGTCCGGGCGTCGCGCGGAGTGCGCTTCTTTGAGCCGCTACCACCGCTAGTTCGGCTCGTGGATGGCGTGTTTAGTCGTTGCTTTTATCTATAGCCCGTGTAGCTTCGGTATAGTCTTTTGTTTATTTGCCTTGTGAATACCCCAAGACTTGTTTTAGCAAGCAACTCGGTGCGCCCAAGACTGCCCAGCTGTTCCTCGAAAGAAGCCGAGTGCAACTTGTAGCGCTGTGGGCTGCTCAAACAACCCGCTGCGCAACACGGAGGTGCTTTTTCACAAGTTTCCAACGGACCGGAAATTGGAGAAGGTTGGAGTAATGTTTCTTGCCTATCGTGGTGTGCTGCGCTGGCTGGAGGGTGGCTTCTTTCCGGTGGCTCCAGTGACGCTCACGACTCGTTGATTGAGTAAATAAATATATATTTACAAATGACGAACAACTCTTTACAAAACAAAACAGGAACGCGTCGCGCTGCTGATGCCGCTCGCGGCAACCCAACGCCAACAATGGCGCCTCGGCGCCAAGTTCCTTGCCGCGCACGGCAAGGCCTCTGTCTCGCGAGACAGAATACGCGGAGCCCTCGGGACCGCGGGAAAATAACGTCTTGCTCCGCGCACGGGCTCGTTCAGACTCAACTTCTCCAAAAAGGCGCGCCGACATCCCGAATGGAAGCCGGACATCCCTCTCTCCCCGGAGTCGCCGACATGCCCTGACAAAGTCGCTTCCACAATTACCTCGGCAACAAGGGCGACCACGAGCGAACAGAGGTTTGTTTACTTCCCACGCGGGGAAATCTGCTTCCACTTTCGGGAGGGAGCTGGCCTCCGCTTGCCGCCAAAGGGAAAGACAAGACATCGGGCGCCTCCGAAGGACGCTTCGGGTGACCGCGCCGCCAATTCCCCGAGCTCTTTCGGCTAAGCCCTTTCGGCCATCCCTACACGTCCCCCCGAAAACTGCGCTAGGACTTCTGGACTAGCCAGCAGTTACAAAAACAGGATGGCCGAAAACCCAACAAGAACACAAAAACAACCAGCTTAAACTGAAGCGAAAAATAAGAACAACAAAACACATGGCTGGAAATAACCAAGCCAGGCACCTCTAGCACCAATTGCTATATAAAACTGAGGGAAAAAAAAAAAGGACAACACTTCTACTACACTCCGTTTCTCAGCCGGCCTCTGAGGACATGGATCCCTCGCAACAACGACACCTCTGGTGCCGCAAGAGCTTCCGCAACCAAAAGACAAAAACATCAATAAATCACGGAAAACCAACAATCAAAGGAAAACTGAAAACGCTTGGTGAACACTGAACAACGCTGAATCGTTCGATTACACAAAATAAAACACAGCCACGCTCCTCTAGCACGACTTGCTAAATAAAGATTAAAACAGGGAGAACACTTATTTCTGCTTGTGGAGACAAAACCTTGATCACCCACTCCGCTAGACTTTGCGGACCTGTCTTGCTCGCACCAGCGACACCAAGAACGCTGCAAGCGTTGCCGTAAACAAAAAGACAACAAAACTCGAAAAGCTCGGCAAACGCTACACAGTAAGTGTGAGTTCAATGGCACCTCGCAAGGGCCACGGCAGTGATCGCTTCCCCACATGCACGCCCGCAGACACCACGTGTATGAGCGCGACAAAGCGCTCTCTTTCCGCCATACAATCACCCCTTACACGGGCACCTGTGTCGAGTGTCGTGAGGACAGAGTCGCTCGCCAGAGCTTCATTAGGCCCCCGAAGGCGCGCTCGGCTCGGTCTCCTCCGGGAACCGTGTTCGGTACTCGCTTCGCAGTCGGTTCGGTCAGAGGAAGGACCAACACTGCGCCCATGGCGCGCCATCGCCGTCCCCGCTCCAACAATGTCGCCCCACGGCGATTCGTGCTCCTGCACGTGTACCGCCCCGCGCCGCCCACTTGGTGGCACCCACGGTGTCACACCCTCACCGCAACGCCCGTCGTGGGGACATCGAAGTCCAATCTGAACGACTGCAGTAGCCTCCCTCGCGACATCAGCATCCACCAGCCTCCACAGTGCCGGGACCGACCCCTGACTCTCCGGGAGCTCCTCCCCTCCAGCTGCCCGGACGCAGGAAGACCCTCGTTCGCAAGCGGCCCGATCGGCCTCCGACCCCACGGCAGTCTCCAGACCCTGTATGGCACGATCGGCCTCGGAACCCACGGCAGTGTCCGGTTCCTGGACAGCGCGATTGGCCTCGGAACCCACGGCGGCCCCCGGTTTCTGTATGGCGCGATCGGCCTCAGACCACACAGCAGTGTCCGGTTCCTGGACAGCGCAATTGGCCTCGGACCCCACGGCGGCCCCCGGTTTCTGTATGGCGCGATCGGCCTCGAACCCGAGAGTGTTCGCTTCCTGGAGAGCGCGATCTGCGTCAGACCCCCCGGCAGTCTCCGGTCCCAGCACGGCATGACCGGCCTCGGACTCCAAGGTAGTCTGCGGTACCGGTACGGCTCGATCGGCTTCAAAGCCCACTTCTTGGAGAGCGCGATCGGCGTTGGACCCCACCGCAGTGTCCGGTTCCTGAACGACACGATCGGCCCCGGACCGAGCCTCGGGCGCCGTGTCTTCCGCTGCCCGAGGCTGTGTCTCTTCACGGCGCTGCCCTAGGAGCCGCGCTCTCGCCCTCCGCTCCTCCGCCCGGAGTTCTGCGGCTTGAACCTGCCGCTCTAGCTCCTTTGTCTTTTCCCTCGCGAGGGCTAACCGAACGCTAAACGGAACTGCTTCCCTACGCCACCCCTCGTCGCCTCCATCACTAGGGCTCCCCCTCCTACGCAAGCTACACTTCGTCATGCAGCTAAGCGCGCGGGTGTCAGCCGGCGACGAAAGGGAAAGCGACCACGTACCTGGCGATGCTGTAGAGCCCATGAAAGTCGCTGACGCCGCCGAACTCGTGAGTCCCCGGCGTCGATCACCGCACGCAGAGTCCGTTCCGTGAGACCCGGCTGCCGCCGCTCAAGGCCTCCGGTGTCGCCAAGCTGCTTTTGGACAGTTGCTCCTTGTCTCGGCTGGTCCTGGGCTCCTGCCGATGGAAACCGCCACAATCCGCGCCAGCACTGGCCTCGTCGTCTTCCTGGCACACGATGTCGTTGAAGTGGCCGACGACGTCCACGATCCTGTCGACTGCGCCAGTAATGTTTCTTGCCTATCGTGGTGTGCTGCGCTGGCTGGAGGGTGGCTTCTTTCCGGTGGCTCCAGTGACGCTCACGACTCGTTGATTGAGTAAATAAATATATATTTACAAATGACGAACAACTCTTTACAAAACAAAACAGGAAAGCGTCGCGCTGCTGATGCCGCTCGCGGCAACCCAACGCCAACAATGGTGCCTCGGCGCCAAGTTCCTTGCCGCGCACGGCAAGGCCTCTGTCTCGCTAGACAGAATACGCGGAGCCCTCGGGACCGCGGGAGAATAACGTCTTGCTCCGCGCACGGGCTCGTTCAGACTCAACTTCTCCAAAAAGGCGCGCCGACATCCCGAAGGGAAGCCGGCCATCCCTCTCTCCCCGGAGTCGCCGACATGCCCTGACAAAGTCGCTTCCCCAATTACCTCGGCGGCAAGGGCGACCACCCGAGAACAGAGGTTTGTTTACTTCCCACGCGGGGAAATCTGCTTCCACTTTCGGGAGGGAACGACAAGACATCGGGCGCCTCCGAAGGATGCTTCGGGTGATCGCGCCGCCAATTCCCCGAGCTCTTTCGGCTAGCCCCTTCGGCCATCCCTACAGTGTGGGTGAACGCTGTTCGACGAGTGGACTTTGGACTTCGGCTTTTACGCGCGCGAGGAAAAAAGAACGAAAAAACTGACGTGTACAGTCCAGCACACGTGTGTTCGGGCGCTGCGGCCCCCGCCAGAAAGCCTCAAAGCTTCGTGTCTGGGACTGACCAGCAGCACGAAAGCGAGAGGGCCCCCTGTACTGTACGTCACTGGCAGCGCGGCGTAGAGCAACTCCGCTCCATCCACGGAGCCCCGATGACAATTTAGGCATAGCGACGAGTACGGCAGCGAACGAGTTCCCTCGTTTTCCAGTCGCTAGCTTTTGGGTATACAACCGACGAGTACGGCATAACGCACGCACGGCGGCCGCCGCCGAGTATGGCACTGCACGAGTTCACGGGTTCTTCAATCACTAGCTTTTTGGGTATACGCACTAACTCTGGCTACATAGGCTGGACAACTACCACGTATACAGAATTAAAACAAAACCAGCTTACCTCCTATCTGTAGACAGCTAGCGCAACAGAGGTAGGTGCCGCTCGGTCTGCGTACTCGTTTATCAAGAACGATCTTGACGTCACCTTCACATAGCAGCCGATTCCCAGTGTTGCCGGGGCCTCGAGCGGCTAGTTTCGGTTTTGTTGGCCGCGCCCCAAGCAAAACTTTGAGGCGTGGATATCTTTAAAACTACGCACAATAAGGAGAAAAAATTGCACCTTGCTATTCAGAGACGCTGACTGCACTGAAAAGAGTCATAATCCCAAAATCGAAAGTATGGACCGGAGCTGCCCTTTAAGTATACTATGGCTGGAGAAGGTGCGAACAAAAAAATTCAACTGCACCACTTTCTTCGTCCTTGGCCAACTTCTTAGAATAGAGAAAATTTCACAAAAGCACTGATTAATTATCTTACTATGTACTACTCGCTTCTTTAAAATACTCTAAGCTTTAGCGTAAATACTGATTTTGTTTATACTTCTTTTCTTTAGGTTTCTTCCTACATTGCTTTGTTTTCTTTTTTAAGGATGTAGCAAATCACCTCTGAATGCAGGTTGATAGTGTTTGTAGATAATCAATTATTCTTTTCTCGACTGCTTAAACAAAAATATAAGGGGAAAGAGAGTCGCGTAGAATAGCCCCAGTTATATAATTCCATTTGCAAAACCGTGCCCACCGAGAGTACCGACTGAATTTACATAAATAATGCGTTAGACCAGCTCACTGCTATTTTGTTTGCAGAAAACACTAAAGTCACTGATATGATTAGCAAGGTGATGTTTCAGGATGTACCCGTAACACCAAACTTTCTTTAGTGATTTCACCCAGAGAGAGAGAAGAATGGCCAAGTAGTTTGACCAGCAAACACCAGGCACCCTTTTGCCACCGACATCAGTTAACAAATATAATACGATACGGTCCGTTTTTTCCCTTCTTTTATTGGCTTTATTAATTACAAAAATACTATACTTACTGACGGCCTAACAAGCGGCGCCCCGTGGCTTATTATGCTCTCGCTTCTTGCTTCGTGGTAAGGTCTTCGGCGTTCTTATGCGGAGCGCCAGTTTGTCTGCTTCTTTTGCAGTGGTTATGATGACGTCAGAACGCAGAGCTCTGGTTCACTCTGATTGGAGGATAATGAGTAGACCTCAAGGCAGATTGCTTTGAGGTCTGCCTACTCTCTTTCAATCAGAGCCAGTCAGAGCTCGGTGTCTATCTGACGTCACCACAACCCCCCCCCCCCCCCCCCCCCCCCCGGAGAAGAAGCAGACGAACTGGCGCTCCGCATTTGCTTGTGCGACGGTCTCATTGGCAATTGAATTCTGCTCACCTGAGTTTCTTTTTTTTTTCTTACTTTTTTAAGGGTCTTGTGGCTCTTTGAGTCCGGCGTGCCCTTCATGCGGAACCAAGACCTCTACCCCAAGGGATCCCTCTGCTTCCTCGACACGTCCAAGCAAGACCGGAGCGGCTCCTTCCAGCCGCTTACCGCCCAGGACATGCGCGCTGTCTTTATGCTCAGCGGCTATTTGATGGCCATGGCCTGCGTTTTTCTCCTTGTTGAGCTCATCGCTCACGGGATGTCCCACTGCGCTGGCTGCCTTGCGTGAGGAAGACGTGTGTAACGGCTGGAACACATCAGCGAAAAACCAACCTAATATTGCTCGTATAGCACGGAATTTAAAGAAAAATACTTCCATGCCTTCTTCTTTTTTTTTTATCACGCGTGGGTATATCGTGTACAAAAGTCACAATTATTTTTTTTGGATCATATTCGTCTTTCAGAATGGTGAAATATATTCTCGTGTTTGTTTAGCAAGAAAACATATTTATGGAGAGAGAATCCTACAAAATAAAGTCAAACAATCAACAATACAGTAACATCTCGAGATGTACCTAGCCCACCTAAAATTGAGTGTATATTGGGTGAAAATAAAAAAAAAGGTAGAAAAATGCTCTTCTTAGATTAAGTCACATTAAAAACTTGCTGTTCTGCTATTCCCGTTTGTTTTTATTTGTACCTATGTTAGAGTTTAAAATGTTTAATACTTTGCGGAAGGTTCGCTTTAAAGCTACAAAGGCACAGAAACATTCCGTCATGCACTTGAACACCAATCATTAAGCTTTGTCCACTCGGGGTACTGAATGGAAACGGCGATTGGCAACATGCTCCAGTGGTTATTCTGTCTGAGCGGTAAACGAAGCATACCCTTCTTTTTCCACCGAAGGTGCATTACGATTAAAGGGTCCCCGAGGAGGTTTAAGAGATCGCCTGGATATGGTGAAAACTCACTCTGCTGGCTCTAAGCATCCTAGAAATTCCTTCATCACGACAAAACGCGGCCAATTTCTATATCGAAAAAGCAATCAAAGATCCCAACACAACGAGGTCATCTCAGGCGGTGGGAGGAGCATGTTCGGAAACCTGGACCACTGTCAGCCATTACCAACCGAAGGATCCTCGTGTTTCCGACCGGTGGACCCGCGAAGTCATATCTCGAATGAGCGCGCCACGTCGCCCGATCAGTCCGGACACCCGGGCTTAGCGAGTTTTTAGAGCGCAGCTCTTAGGCGCCCATTTCCGCCTTGAGCGACGTCGCGGTCGGCGTCGGCGTAACGCCCGGAGCATTATGGGACGCGTGACGTCACTGGTGACGTTATCAGTCACGTCATCGTGATGACGTCTCACAATGACGTCATCCTTATCGTCATCATCACAATGACGTCATCGATAACGTCACCAGTGACGTCACTGATGACGCCACTGATGACGTCATTTGTGACGTCATTGCGATGATGACGATGAGGATGACGTTATTGCGTCATTAGCGACGTCACTGATGACGTCAACAGTGACGTCATCGTGATGGTGACGATGAGGATGACGTCATCGTTTTGACGTTATCAGTGACGTCACTGATGACGTCATCAGTGACGTCATCGTGATGATGACAATGGGGATGACGTCATCGCGATGACGTCCCCACTGACGTCACGCGTCTCATAATGCACCGCGCGGTTACGCCGACGGGGACGACGACGCCGCTCGGAGGGAGGAGTAGCACGCAAGATGAGGAGGTGAGGAGGAGGGAGGAGTGGTATACGCTCCCCTAGTACCCTTCCCTCCTCCTACTCAAGAGCTGCACTCTAGTTCGTTTTACAGGGGGTTGTAAGCGACTTTCCTTTTAGAGACCAGCTCTTAGGCGCCCGTTTCCGGCTTGAGCGGCGTCGCCGTCGGCGTAACCACGCGGTGCATTATGGGACATGTGACGTCACTGGTGACGTCATCAGTGACGTCACTGATGACGCCACCAGCATCCGCATCGTTCCTGATGACGTCACTGATGATGTCTTCGGCATCCGCATCGTCATCGTCATCGTCACTGATGACGTAACTAGTGATGATGACGCCATCAGTGACGTCACTGGTGACGTCACTGATGACGTCATCGTCATCGTCACGTGACCTCATAGGGGTCACGTGACGCCCTTGAGGTCACGTGACCCTCGTGAGGCGACGGCGAGGACGCTCGGAGGGAGGAGGTAAGGAGGAGTGAGGAAGGATATACCTTCCCCTCAGTACCCTTCCCCTCCTCCTCCTCAAGAGCTGCCCTCTAATTCGGCGTTACAGGGAGTTGTAAACGGCTTTCATTTTTTTCTTTGTTTCAGTCAGTCGTACTGGTTGGAGCAGACAAATTCAATAGTGTACAATCGCAACCATGACTTCACCGCGCCGTGTCTCTTGCTAACCTGACGCCTATTCAGCGCAGCGAGAGAGCACTTGGGAGCAGACCAGCAGACGACCCGAAACAATCACTCCCCTGGAAGACGAAAAAAAAAACAAGAAAAAGCAATGCACTTTTTTTGAAACGAATACTCCAGTATTATGTTTCCTCTCCACTTAAAAAAGAAACATTCGTCACATACTCTTATGTGCTTTTAGTATCCACAAAAGCATACACGCTTTGTAATACCAGCGTTAACGATCTGCACGAAATGTCACGGTTGCATTGTTCACATGTCGTCCTGGTCGCCGGAACATGCTCCTCCCATCGCCTGAGATGACCTCGGAGTGTCGCTATCTTTGATTGCTTTTTTAATAGAAAAATCGTTCGCGCATCATCATGATTTGGGGATTGATGGGATGCTCAGAGCCCGCATAAGTTATCAGCATACTTAGCCGATCTCTGAAATCTCCTACGGGCATCTTTAGAGCGAGGCATTAGTACCCTTCTCGTTGGCTAAACTGATTATATTAAGGCTGCGGTACCACGGCGGCCATCTTGAACAAGACATTAGTTGAACCACCAGGGCGGCGTTGGCTGTCCGTATGAGCAAATGCTGCAAAACCTGCGCGCCAATTTCGAAACCCTTTTTCCCGTCGCTTGCGACCTTGAGTTTCCTTCTCCACTCTTACGCCCCTCCTTTCACGTGTTCACCCTCTGGCGCGTCGCGCCCACGTTCATTGTAGGGAGGACAATGTACCGGATAATCCCCAACTTGAGGCCCCCTGCCAAAATTGTCCGGCTGCCAAGTGATTTGAGCGAGATGGGGTTTTGAAGCGGTATGGAAAAGTGGGACCGTCAATTTTGAACTATGCCTTTTCGATACTGCATAAGTTGTGTACGGGGCTGGCCAAGGCACGGGCGCGAGGACGTAACTGTATACAATGCTTGGGTTGCAGGAGCACTCGCGCGCAGAAATGGTAGGACGCGCTTTCTGAAATCACACGCCTACATTCCGCAGCGTTGCAATCCTACGAGTAAAACAGAGTACATCTTCGGACAGTGCGTGAGTTGATGCCGGCCGTACGAAAGACACACCTCGCGCTTCCTGTCACTACTGCCGCTGCTTTCACGCGCTGCCGACTGGCGGTCCTTTCTTTATTTTGTTTCGTCGCTCTTTTGAAAATACTGAAACTAATATTTTCTCAGACCCTGCTCATCGTACCTCTGCACTAAAGTTGTGTAAACACATTGTGATGTAATTTGAGATACGGGACGGAGTGTCTACATTCTTATTTCGTGTGTAATGCTGGCATAATATTCCTTTGCTGCCAGAGGGTCAAAATAATGGTAGGATCGGCAGCAAAAACTATTTCAATGACCGAATTATGATCAAACACCAGTAAGAACATAAAAAAGAAATCACATGGGGACAATAAAAATATTGCTACAAGAGGATGGTGCGCGGGGCACAAACAATATTCGGAGTGACGTTGAGGGAACGCGACAAGCCAGATCTTTCCTGATGGCTGCCGTAAAAGTTGATCTGGTGCCTCGTTTTGATCGGCTTTGCACGGAAACTCGTCGACTACCGACTATCTTGTCAGTGGTGAACATAGTGAACATGAACTGGATGATTTTTTTGTTGTTGTTTTTGTTTCTGTAGTTAAATGAGAGTATGGAAATATGAGACGTCCGCTGACGCTTGCGTCGGCTAACGGAACCTCAATCGCCGATCGCGGCCGATGTCATGGGTGTACAAATACATCAAGTCGTCTGGGCGGGAGCAGTTGAAGCGCCGCACTTTTTTGGCCGGTCAGTAGAGACTCCGCGAATTCTGACTCGAGGCTACTCTGTGCGGAGGGAGCCGCTACTGAGCGCGGCCAATCGGAAACCAAGGACGGCTGAAATTTCCTAATTGCCATGAGATTTGCAAATTCGTTCTTCCCGTCGTAGTAAATTCGTCCGAATCGCTATTCGATTTACTAATCGATTATTTGGATGAAACGATATATTTCAAAATTCGTACGTGGCTCACCAAATGGCAATAAAATTGGTATAGGATTTCAAAACTATATAGTGTCACCCTAATTTACAAACTTGTTTCACTTGAAATTAGAGTTCACGCGCAAGCGAGCTGGTGGAAGCCTATACTAAAAAGGCCAGAAACAAGAGAAACAAAAAATAAATAAATAAGAGCGGGATAACCGCAACACAGTCTCAAATCACAGCTGAAAATGGTTACTTGGTAAGTGTAAATGTCCAGACATTGTATTAGTAAATTGTATATATATATATATATATATATATATATATATATATATATATTGTTACAGTGCTGGAAGGAGCGATGGGAACGGGGTGCCCTCCGAACGATAGGTTTAATTCAAAACTGCCCGCTGCAGCGCCTGTGTGCACGAGCCACTGCCGATGGCCTGTCGTTGTCTTCGTCGCCGTCTATGTATCATTACCCCCGCCGTTGTTGGCGGTCGTCTCGACCGCATAGTGGAGGGGGAAATTTGGTGGAGAAGAGGGGTGTTCTAGGGCGAGGGTTTGATTGGGTTGGGATGATGGTAGGGTTTGATGCGTGTGATGTGAACGGTGTCCTTCGAAGCTGTCCGTCGGTCAGGTGTTGGGTGCAGGAGCTGTACCTGGTAGGTGAGGTCCGACAGCTTGGCAGTGATGCGGTATGGGCCGGCGTACCGGTGGAGGAACTTGGTGGCCTTGCCCTGTTGCCTACGTGGCGTCCAGAGCCACACAAGGTCACCGGCGGTGTAAGACGCAGGCCGATGTGTCTCGTTGTAACGTTGACATTGGCGCTGCTGTGAAGCCATTTTGCGTAGGCGGGCGAGCTGTCGCGCCTCTTCGGCACGGCAGACAAGGCG